AATTTAACTTTTAATAGCCCAGTTCGCCTTTAATCGACAAAAATTTATTTCTCCTTGCGATAAAATCTTCGTAGCAAACTTTTTAACCGCGAATGAAGTGTTAAGAAAAATCTAATGGTACTGCTCTCGTAAAATTCTTAGCTTTTTTATTATCCTTTAAAAGTAGCGCAGAGCTATCATTTTTCATAAAGTTTGATGGGCGTCTACGACTGAAAAATCGATTTTCATTGATATTTAGTGTCAGGGCACGATAATCCTGGAAATTAAAGCTGGACCATAAATCTCCAAGCTTTTGTTCCCATCGTAATGCGGTCGAGAGAACGTGACATTAACGTCAATGCAGAAAGATATTTTAATAAAGTGGTCCTTCTCTCTTTTCGTTTCGGCGATTTTCTTGAAAATATTTCCGATAGATGGCGGTACGAATGAGTGATTTAAGTGGGAAGTTACGATCACCAGAGTTTTCTGAAGAATTTCGTGCTTTGCATAAAAAGAGATGAGTCTAGATAATTTTTTTTTCGTTTTTTTAACAGTTTAAAAAGTTTGTTCTGAGAATTTTCTTAACAGTTTTCAGTTTATTAAATGTCTTGCATTTTTCAGTCCAAAGAGGCAGTTTGCCCTGAAGGACTATTAATTTCGTTTTGGCATTTTGCGTTGAAAACTATAAACGGCGAATCACTTTTCAAATTGTTGGCCCCAAATATCATCGCCCTGTATTATATTTAAAGAAATTAAATAATGAAGGATCTGCATGAATGTATGTTATGTTTCCCGCATTGTGATATATCAAGAGTACCTAGAGCCATTAAACTTTCAATAACGTAATCTCCCATAGGATATGGGCAGGTGGAAGTCTTAATTTGAATTTGAATTTTTTTTTATTATCGATTTCATATTTTGTAACACTTCAACGAATTTTGATTAACAAACTCGACGATTTGAAAGCGAGCAATGGCAACACTGTACGGAAAAAAAAAATAAAAATAAAACATTTTTATTTCCAGCGCACGAGACTGTGTATTGGAAATTCTAAAGATATACTCATTTTGAAATTATTTTGCGAAATTGCTGTTGAACTGAATTTTATGGTTTGAGTACGTAGAACATGATATTTAATAAATAAAGGTAACACATAAAATGTTAAAAATACGTCCCTTTGCACGTAATTTAAAATTTGAAACCTTCAGACTTTATTTTACGTATTGTTTTATTTTAGATAAACAGGAGCCATATGAAATTCGGAGAAAAATAGTATTATATGAAGCAAATTAAAAATTCTTTGCACTAATATTTAACTTCGTTTTATATGGTAGCATATGGGATTAGATGGACACTTCAAACCTTGAAATTATATAATTGCGCATGTTTATTAAAAGTGTTTCAAAGATGGAGTTTGGAGGTTACCTATTGAATATTAATTATCATATATTTTTCAACTATAAATATTGAACTGAGATGATCCTGCAAAATTTCAGCTGAAATTGAAACCCCACGTATAAACTGAACTGCAAACCGTCCTATGAATCAAGCTCTGTATGTCAATAAGGTGTTTTCGTCTGGCTTTCGCATGTCAGAAGACCTGCAGAGGAAGCCGAACTCACTTTCAATTTTTGACTCTTTAGCGCCAGCCGTTTCTTTCTTTGAATTTTCTCACCTTACGGGCCACATGTATCATTTGGCACTTAAATAGTTTTTGGTTCATTTGGCACTTAAATTTCTACTAGTAAAATAGGGAATAGCTTCTCAAGTTTTATTAAAAATCATTTTCAAGGAATCACAAGATTTCCCCCACACCCAGTTCAGCGTTAAATTAGCTCAAGTATAATGTAATGCATTTTAATTGAGCTAATTTAACGCTGAAAGGTAGGCGTACTGTCGATACCGCCGGTGGTTAGAACTGCAGGGTTTGCTGGAGTCAGTTTCATCGCGATTCGAGGACGCCGGAAGGTTTTCCGATTTTCTAATTAGTTTATGGGGCTAATACCTATACAGTTACTAATTAGGGTAAATAATAGGCAGCCCTCTTCACTTCTACATAACACAACATAACCCTCACCCCAGTTGTGCTCTCACATTTAACAGTAAATGAGATTCTTCATTTCTACTGTATAGCAAAAGATGCCGGGGAGGTGGGAAAATTGCATATTTTCGTAGTTTTGAACAATAGTTATCACTTATTCTGAGTAGTGCTGTGAACGAAATTGAAGGTAATTATAATATCTACGAAACGTTTGATAAGTTGTTAATGTTCAAAGTGAGGACGATGATATCCTTCTCGGACTTGGCTGAGGACGATGATATCCTTCTCGGACTTGGCTATATCAGGTAGAGACTTCTCGGAATTGCTGGAAAATTCCGAATCGATACCAGTATTGAAACATCTCATTAATGTGCATTAGAATTTAAAAAAATTAAATAATATATTTTTTTGTCTGATGATTAAACTTCTAATATCATTTTTGTGATCCATTTGTTGCTAAACCTTTTCTAATTCATTCAGTAAAACCCCTCCAAACAACAGAGTTTATGTTGTTAATGTGATCCTCATACCTAGTCAGCTTCAAATTCCCTTTTACTAGTAAAATATAATTCTAGGTTCTTCGTTTCTACTGTATAGTGAAAGATTAATGGACAAAAATAGCTGTATTTCTACTAGTATTTCTACTAGTAAAAATAGCTGTATATTTCTACTAGAATAACTGAAAAATAATCTCTAAAAAATTTATCTACAGGCAGTATTCTGTGTAACAGGGCGCAATTAATCTATTGTGATGCGTTACGTTATGACTTTCAACATGCGATGAACCTTTCTCCTCTACATTCGAATTCCTATATATTTCTTGCATGACGCTAGAAAATAACGTCCAAAAAAATTCATAGACAGAATTGTTCCTGCATTGTATTTCTGATTTTGAAAGTCAAACGTAAAAGACGCTAAAATGCAAAAAACAATGAACGGGAGTAAATTTCATTTCTTATTTTAACTTAAAAAATAGGAAAACATTCAAATTAGTACTGGCTATAAATGACTAAAACCAGTAGTTTAATTATAGTCATTTGCCCAGACTCAATTTCAATCCTAGTATCAAACAGCTTCTATGATTTTCCAATTGTTGTTTTATGTGTGTCTTACAGTTATGGAATTTTTAACTATTTTTAATCAACTACTATTTCAATTTAATAGCTTTCTAATTTAACTTTCTCTTAGCAAAGCAAATTTATTTATTCTAAAATTAATTTACTTTACTAACAAAAAGAGTTTATTTAGTAGCCATCTCAAAAAAGGGATTTTAAAATAAGTTACGCATTTTGAAATCTTTGAGTGAAAGATATATATCTCAGTTACATATATTCGAAAATGAATTGCTGCACACCATTCTTGATAAGTGAGTTTATCCAGCATAAATATTGTGAATGGAATATATTTTATAATATTTGAGGAGATATGTATTTAGAGTGATTTCGTTTTGCCTTTAATTACTGTTTCTTTGAGTAAAGAGAAATGTTTTAAAAACACCACTTCTTTTCTATCTGTCGAAAACGTTTTCTGTCAAAAAGACATGCCAGCGTCTCAAATAAATGTTTCAGTGTTAATAAAGCACATTTTTATCGCAAACCAAATATAACTAACTGGAAAGTTTGGTTCAATTACTATACGTATGCCTCGGTAAATAAAGCAGAAAGTAAATATCTCTTTTGTTGCTGAGAGTTAAGCATAAATTGCATTTAATAGCCTCTGTTCTTTTGTGCAAGACATATATTAATACCTGTTTCATGAACAGAAAATACTGAAAAAAATTTTCATCTATACAAGAAGGGAAGAGAAAGCGAAAATAGCGGTCCAGCAATCCCCTTTCCTGTTCGCAAATATACAAGAGAAGCATAAAATCTTCCTTTAAATATAAAAGATTATTGGCCAAAATTTAATCGACATATATTATTATTTTAGAAATGCTGCTGCAATAAATGAGTTTTTTTATTATTAGTTCTATAGTAGAAAATTTCAACATGTGGAGCTTTTGCAAATTGAAGAATATCAAGTTAGTATCCCGATTCTTGCATTCCGGTTCATATGCCTTGTTCACATTCTCGGTATTCCAATTTACATGCTCTTCAACATTTCTTTTGTAACTTGATAGAACATCTACTATCGTAGACTTCAAAGTCAGTATGCCACCAAAATAATTATGTGGTAATCCATCACATTATCAAAATGTATGTATGGGGTAACCCAGGTTTGCGGCGTATAGCCCATGTTTGTTTTGGTCGGTGTGTGTTGCCGAAGTTGTACGGTAGCAGAATTTGTGCATTTCCTCTAATATTTTTTGAAAAGAAAACATTCACTTCGCACATGAGAAGAGCAACATCGCAAGAAAGGAGGATTCCTCGAGGAAAAGCATTTTATTGCTGATATCTCTTGCTCTTTTAATTTTATTGATTAATTGCTCTTCTATGGAAATTTTAGTGCGCCGATATTTTGAAAATTGCTGTTGCCTTTTGTGCATTAACTTGTCGAAAAATTATTTGCCACTAAATTTGCGAATGCTATCCGTATTGCGCGTGTATACGAGCAAGTTTCCCTTAGAAAGTCCTCCGCGAAGGCATCCCTCCCCTTAGGCAGATAGCCCTGCTGTGCTTTCCCGTAATCTCAATAAACCAACCAAAGAGGCCGACGAGTTTACGACTCTTCAATGTAGGTATGGATATTCCGAAAGTACCAAAAATATAACAGGAGGGCTAAGTAATAAATAAACATTTTAGTATCAATCGTCCGTGGTTATTTTCTATAATTTTTTTTTATAATCAGGGAAAGTCTTTATGCTCACCGCGTATATTTTAAATGGTACAGTAACGTGTTCCCTGCAATTTATATTTCTTTATTCTGTGGTGTAAACTATGACATAAGCTAAACTAATAAAATCTATGACATATTAAACATACATATCTGTTACTCTCCAGTCTAAAATGCTCTGTTGTAAGCATGCTTGTGGATTTTTTAGATATGGTACCTGTCAACAAAAAGATGTGCAAAGACCCGCGTCCAGTTACAATCCAGAGGTGTAAAGTACCGTGCAAAAGGGATTGTCAAGTCTCTCAGTGGTCGAGATGGGGCCTTTGCATGCCTTTCAACAATACAGACTTCTGGGAAGAAATAGATTCGGGTAAGTTAAATTCTGATTTTAAATTCCGGATTCTGAACATTCTGGTAAACACCTTTTTTTTACTACTTTGTACGAAGTCGAAGTATTGTAATTGTGAAACATTTCGCGTATCATATTTTAGCAAAATATCCATTTCGACCGCTTTCGAAAACATTTGAATGAGATTTTGGGGTGACATCTATACGTACAGACAGAATAAAGGACTGTTTTTGCCAAAACGGATTGTAAAGTGGATTCAGAAGAGAATGTTTCATCTTGACGTCTATATGTGCATACCTACGTATGCACCTCGCATAACTCAAAAACGTGTAACCGTAGAACGTTCACATTTTGTATATGGGACTGCTATTACACGTAGTTGTGCAACTCCGTTTTTAGTTGCAATTGGCCACACCAAACATATATACATTCCCACTTTGTTGCCCGGAAGTATGTTGTTCTTAGGTTCCGTCAACAGTGGTAGAATTATGATCAATTTAAAAGTTTAAGAGACGTATTAAGCCTAACGGGGCCGTCATTTGTTTACCTTTGAAACTCTTAGTAGAATAGTTCCTTCAGTTGGTGCACCAAATTTAGAGTCTTTTTACCCAGTGGAATCAATAGTTAACTTATCTAATTAATAATAATATTTTATTTACTTAATTATAATTTTATCTGTTTTGAGCTGCATTTTGGGTTTAATATTTTTGCGTGTTTGACAATTTCTAATGAAGATGTTTTGAGGTTTAATGTATTTTTGCCTTACCGCAAAATAAGAACTGAATTGATTGAATGAAGAATGTATCTCTAATGAAATTCGAGGAAATACGTCGAAAGGAAGTGCAGTAAAAAATGTGTATAATTTAATAGGCCGTACCAAGTCATGTGGTTTCCACATCAGATATATTTTTATATATTCTAGCTATTACAGTGGTTTTAGTTAATGCAACAAGAATTTAGTCGCAACTTCAATTAATTATATGAAAATTCCAGGAGAAAACAGGGCATAGCGTAAGTTATCCTTCGCAAATAATCCTTCCGAAGTCACAAATCACTTCGAGGATTTTTATTCTTAGCTATGTTAAGTTTGGATATTAATTTCAAAGTCTGAACGAGAGCTAAGTGTTGCTGGAAGTCGCAGTGATTTCGTACCTGTATTGGATTCTTGATAATTTATATTTTTTCACTTTGTTTTCAATAGAATTATTACTAATAAATTGTCTTATCACAGTCCTCATTTTTATTTTTAATTTGAATGAAATTAATGAAAAAATATCGTTTGCTGCATTAATGTAAAGGCCTGATTTTTCCATCCAAAAGAAAAATCTGAATGTTTGTAGAGTTTTTTTTTTTTTTTTAAAGCAAAAGATTTGAAAAATTAGCTTTGCCCTCGCCAGGACTCGAACGTGGGCCTCTCAGATACGTGTCGAATGTGCTACCGTTACGCAACGAACGTACGCTGGAGGGAGGGAGAAAATCCCTTATATTTTGAACTTTCGGTCAATTTTTCAAACTTTCAAAGAAATTTTATTGTTAAGATGTAATATTTTAACATTTAAATGTTGTATCTTATTCAGAAATTTTCAAATATCTATAAAATTTTAAGATATTTTACCAAAACCATTAGTACTGAAGTTCATTATGAGTGTTACTGGCTTCTGCTTTTACGCTATATTCCCGTATCAAAGGAATTCATCCTTCGAAGACATCTATTTCAGGATAAATTCAAATTATCCTTAGAATGGCTAAGAAATTTAATTCGTTTATAATAATCTAGTTCATTTATTGCATATTTCCGACAGCGGTGACCGTCAATCAGTTGATTTTACCTCTGTCTTTATTGCCATCGTTTACTTGAGGTTTGTTTTCTATCTGAATGATCTATCTAAGTTTATTGCATCTTACCTTCCCAATGACCATCAACCATCTGGTCACCTTTAATCAGTGGTCTCTATGAGCATCGGTGACCTGAGGTTTAACTTTTTTTTTTAACATTTTGTCTCTCCACGTCAATGGCATCAAGCCATAGATCGCCCGTGAACAAAGGCCTTGACAGTCATTTTAGGTTAAAATTTTTTAAATAGTTTATCTAATTGGTAAAGATTTATATACATTTATTTTTCTTTATTTTTCGCTATTTCATAAAATATTTATGAACATTTACAGTATTATTCCTGTTAATAAAATTGTTTGTAATGTTGTATTGCGTACCTGCTGTATAATCTTTTTCTTCTCACTATTGCAAATGAACTTCCTTGCCTTCCATCATTAAACCACTCTTGCTGATATTATTCGCGACAAAGGTTTTGAAATGGAGAAAGAATAAAATTAAAGAAAAGGATATACAATAAAGGAAATTTTTTTAGTCATCTGGATTTAATATGAGTCACTGAACACTGCGAATTTCGAGTGGACTTTAAAAAATATTCGGGGGAACATCATTCCAGCACAGGCTCCAAATTAACTGCGCGTTATTATTTTTCTCATCTTCTATGCTTTACCAGTTCTCTTCTTTTCAATTTCTTTGTTATTGTTTGTTTTCGACAATGTTTTTGGCTACGTCTTAGAATATTGCATCGTGAACTCACTGCTGCAAGAGAACGCTCATTTGTATCGGTCTGCATTCGCCGGCGGTTCATTCTATGTGGGAATTTTATTCTCGAAACAAAGTGGGAATGAAAATTCCTCCGTGCTGTTTCATGAATTCTTTTTCCCTCTGTTTTCGTGTACTCTAATTGTATCTTTTTCATTCTTATTATTTTGCTGCGTGTATCTTCCATTCAAATACCGATACTTAGTAACGGAATGTTGCAACGTGAAATTGAGTTCCAACAAAGAGAGACACAAGCACAGGAATAAATTTTGCATAGATAAGTTACGCAAATGCTGCAAGGCCATTTTCCTTTAAGCATAAGCCCTAAGTACAAGACATCTCAAAGAGATGCTATCAAAGAGTTGCTATCAAAGAGTTGCAATTTGCATGGTTACGAACTATGTAAATAAGCGAAGAGAATACCTCATGACTTTAGATGGTTCTTGCGATATTGGAAATGCTGAGTTTGTTTCTTATTACAGAATTTGCGAAGATAGGGATCTCGTTATTTGTTTACGTTTCAAAGAAGAGTAGGAGGGTTTCGAATTTAAATTAAGAACTAAAATACATCTGAGGCCTGTCTTGTAGTTTAATACATTTCCCATCTGAGTTAGTTGAGTGTTTTTCAGATGAAGATCTAGAATTTTCATTGTATATGTAATGCTGCTTTCCATTGAATTGATCAAAACACACTTTTTTCATGAATAGAATTTTTTAATTACCTGAATATATGTATGAAAAATTCAGAGTCGGGCAACATCGATTCTTTATTGTATTTTTATGCATAAAACTCTCTATGGTATAGCCTTCCAATCTGTGGAGTAGTCGAAATTTATTGAATATTAGCAATGTCGCTAAATGTACGTATGTTTTATAAAAATAAAAATTCTCTCCAATCTGTTTCTGCATCTTGTTGCCAGAAAGCTTTGAGACATAATCTGCAACTAATGTAACCTCTTCTATATGTATGGATGCGCGTGAACACAGCTAAATCTATCACAAATGGCGCAAGTTTACAAATGTTCTCTTTCAAATCGGGTTTTATAGCTTCAAAAAAGTCTTTCCTTCCGGGAAAACATTTGAAATCTCTGTAATTTATTAGGTTACTTTCATGAAGGAATTCTTATTTATAACTTTTACTCTTGTTGGTCCACCAGTAGCCACAAGTTTGTTCTTTTATGACGTCACTGACTAATAGTCTGCTCGAAAGGAACTATTCCCAACTTCCTCTGTGTCTTCCTTTTTCCCATTTCGGTATGTCAAGTGACGTCGGTAATCTCAAGCGTTGGAAAAAGCGTAACTTCGTCTATTCACTTTGAAATGGATAAGCCTGATGGAAATTCGGCTCGTGTTCAGATCACGAAAAATAGGCTTCATGGTTGTTATCGTGATTTTTTCCACGTGTAACATGAATAGAAGCCAATTACCTTTAAAAAAGTCCCTTTTGAAAAAGGCCATTAGACTGTAACATTTTAGACGGTTAGCCCTCGTTTTTATCCCATAATCGATTATTCAGTTTATTCTCATTATTCATGGGAAAATCATGAACCTTCATGTAGCTAGACGCTCAACCATTATAAATGTACTAGAATAAAATACCAGCTCAAAACAGTCTTATTTACTGGTGGCTTTATTAAAAGAAGTGTAGCTTGCAGTCTCTGTTCTGTATGATTTCTAATTTATGATTTTTTTATAAGTTTAGATTAGAAATAAATAAATAAGAATTGTGCATAACCTGCCCACCGTTTAGGGCATATCAGAAGTTAATAGGGCTTTAACGGGGAACATGAAGAGAAGGAGTTTTTGTGTTGTAAATGATTAAATCTGTTATTGCGATATCAAATCACGGGACAACTGATTCAGCTTTAAAAGTCTTATAATAAACGTAATTACATAAATTTATGGATATTAGAAAATAAAGGAAAGCAAAACAATGTATATGATATGTACAAACAAAACAGTTTCATTTTTCAAATATATTTCATTCGTGAATTGCCAAATGCCAATAATGCCGTAAGGAGCGGGTCACGCTTAAATAATTTTTGACGTATTTAATTGACAGCGCATAAACAATAATTCATCTGTCTATACTTCTTGAAGTGGATTATACTCGAGAACTGTTAAGAGAAATATAGCATGTGATCTGACATAACATGGGTTTACAGTTATCCGGCTCCAGAAGCCAGAGTATACTGCAACCGGAATTATCCGTTTTCAGTATCAGGCCGTAATAGCCTAGTCACCAGCTGTAATACCCATACCTACTTGTTCCGACAAAACGACCCCGTTATAAGCCCCGCCGAGGCAAGACTGAGTACCACTACGGAGTACTGCTTTGTGATTGTTGTAAAGTAAGCGAGCTACCGAGATGGAAAATAATTAGACCAGTGGTCTTTTAAATATTTATTTTAAAATTTAAACAAGAATT